CCTAGTTTTTTCTAAACTCCGTTTCCCCATCATCTGTCTGTCTTTCCCTCTTTTTCAAGTCCCTATTTTTCAAGGAATTGATCATACTTGCATAGAGGAGACTCTTAGGAGATAAGGGTGTTGAGTGGGATGAGATAATTTACCAGGCAAAGGAGTGGGGCCAAATGAAAGGTGAGCCACTGTCGTTCTTGAGCAGTAGTAGACAGAATAGGGAAAAGGGAAAGAAAAGGTGTTTGTTTTTAAGCTGCATTTAATACCAAACAAATCATTGTTATAATTCAATTTGATCTTTTTCATGATGTTTTCCTTTATGTATTATGATGAGCATTACCAAATTATTGCTGAAAAGGCATTTTTGCTGCTTTCAAGACAGGCCTTTTCCTTTAAGTACGATGCATGCTACAGCTCCTGATGACTTCACTGGGAACTCCGACTGGGGAGCTCTTGTGAAATTGTATTTATACATGCAAATACAACCAAAGCTTTTTTTTTTTGCCCATTGTTCCACTGACATTATATAGTCATAATAGAACCCTTGCATCTAATGCAAGTGGATGCATAAAAGTGTTTTAATTTGCATTTATTTGTGTTTCAGAGTTTTTTAAAGTCCATTTTTGGATTTGAGGTATCAAAGCACATCAAAAATTCCTCTTGGAGTTGGTGAGAATTTTCTGGTAAATGAAGTTGGATATATGGTTAGTACCACAGTTGCATCAGTGGCATCACCGCACTAGGGCAATGGAAACTGTGTTATGCTGACTGAATAATGAAAACTTAGATTTACAAATATATTGGGCAAAATGCAAATATGATTCACTGCTAGTTTATTCCCTAATATTTAGATGGCCACCAAGCATATTTGACTGTTTGCAAATCAATATATTTTTACAAATATGTATCTTTAAAATTATTTTTCATTGTTATCTAAGGTTTCTTCCATAATTGTTTTTGCCTTCCTACTCAAGAAGCAGATGACCAATCATGAATTGCCAGTGGCTAATGAATAATATAGAAAATAATCATGTAAACAGCCAGCTTTCAGGTTAAAGGTTATTAACAAACTATTCATCTGGTATATCTGGCAATTTCTTACAAATCAAGATGTATTTTGTCTAGTTTGTTGAATATATACATACATATTTATGTAGGCGCAATTCACATTTCCTATATAAATGTACTAACGTACAGTTTGAGGCAGTGATATTTTAACAGTTATAGTTTAGATGAACAGCAATAGAGGAATTTCGCATAGCCAAACAAGATCTTTTTCAAATATAAATAGCCAATGCAAAGTTTCAGTAATTTACTCTGATATTGACAGAAAGAATTTGGGACTAATCTGTATAAAGTACCATCTTCCATTTTTGTCAGGTGAGTAGCTTTTGCTATTGTCAATCTTATTTCAATGGATTTTTTCTCAATTTAAACATTTTAGTATTAGAGATTTTCTAATAGTAACTATGTGTGGCTTGTTAATTGCTAAGCAAACAGACTGCAACAAGAAAACACAGTTCTCTAAAGTTTTGTTTCCATTGGGCTAAGTATGTTCTAAGGGAATTTAAATATTTGCTGGATCTCTTCATTCATTCTTCAGCAGTTATGAGAGAAAAGCATTGTATGTAGAGTTGGATTTAAGGAAAGAAAAGTATAGAATTGTCTCACATATATGAAATTGAAGTTATTAAATTGTATTGATAAGGTTAAATGGATTATAAGAAAATGGAACACAGAAGCAGATGCAGTTTTCTGTTATTTCAGTTCAGGATTTTCAGGTGAAAACATGCTTTAAGAATCAGGCAGAGGAAAGCAGTTTACCAAGACGTGCCTCTCCGAGGTTTTTGTTTGTTTGTTTGTTTTGCTCTTCTTTAAAATGGGCGTCTTTAATCTGTTTTGGCATTTCAAACCTCGTGCACACAGCGCGGGTTGTTTCCCACTGTTGCAGAACACTCCGCTGGCTGAAAACACGCTTTGATTTGAGAGCTTTACGCTTTCAGGGCAACGTCGCCTTCTGCAGCCTTCCAGATTCACAGCGCGACTCTGAACTTCCACTGGGAACGAGCGTTTCTCCTAACTTTCAAAGAAGCCCTGAAATACTCTATCTAAAATACTCGAGCAACTTAAAAGCTAAAAGTATGTTAGTGTTGTTGTTGTTGTTGTTGTTGTTTTTAAAGCAGGAGTAAACCGGAAGGGAAAAGAGTTTAATTTTGGACGGCGGTAGCGGCTCCGCCGTAGCTGGGCGCGGACTCCGGCTCTGGGCAGGCACCTGGGACGGCAGGTGCACACGCCGCTCCTGCCGGGCGGCGAGTGAAACCGGACCAGGCAGAGGGCATTTGATCTTCCGGAAGATGCAGAGGCGCAAGACGGAAAGCTGAGCCGCCCGGCTTGCGGCTGCTGGGCTTAACGGCAGCAACAAAACCGTTTGCACGGCGTTTTGGCAGCGGCACCCGCCCCGGCCCGGCCCCTG